ACACCACAAATCAAGCCACCAAGTTTAACAACATACAAATGAGTGTTTTGTCAAGAATACAATCTTTCATTTAATAAACCAAAAAAGGATCAATGTTCTCTTTGTGCTAAATACAATGATGCTAATGAAAATGAAAAAGAAAATTTGAAATTGATCTATGAAAGTCATAAAGAACGAGAGAAGTCAGCAAACTTGGACAAATCTAATGACAAAGAAAAAGCTTCAACTAATTCAAACTTTGTGACAGTTACCTATGATTTGCAAAGTGTTCTTCAGATTCCTTCAAGTGATGTATCTCCAATGTACTATAGCCGTAAACTTTGCTGTTACAATTTTACAGTATATGAAGGGGCATTACCTAATAAAGCATACTGTTATGTTTGGACAGAAGTACATGGAAAAAGAGGAAGTAATGAAATTGGTTCTTGTTTGTACCGTTACATAAATACACTTGATAAAAATGTAACTGGTTTATCACGTTTTTCTGATACTTGTGGGGGCCAGAATAGAAACAAAAATGTTGCAGCTATTCTTATGTTTATAGTTCAAACCAGTAATCATATCCAAGTCATTGAACAAAAATTTTTAGAATCAGGTCATTCTATGATGGAGTGTGATTCAATGCATAGCTCTATTGAAAAAGCTAAAAAGTACACTAGTGTGTATACAGTAAATGATTGGTTAATCATCTTCAAGTATGCTCGCTCTTCTCGTCATCGGAGTAATGCTCAGCCTTATGAAGTAATTGAAATTGAATATAATGATTTTTATGATTTGGCAGCATTATCCAGTGCATATTTACAAAATACTGGCATAAATACATGTGGTGAGAAAGTAAACTGGCTTAAAATAAAAACACTGAGATATGACAAAGAATATCCAAATCATTTGCTATATCGATATGATTATTCTGATGAGTTTTCTAAAATAAACATAAAATTAGTCAAAAGAAGGTCAACTGCACGAACTGAGTTTGTACCTAAAGAAGCTGATCAACTTAAAAAAGTCTATACAAGTATGTTACCAATATCAACAGCTAAGTACAATGATTTGCAAAAGTTATGCAAACAAAATGTTATTCCTTCTCAATACCATGCTTGGTATGCTTCTCTCCCATCCACATTAAGAGTGTTAGATTTAAATCCTATACTAGAAAGTGATTCTGATGAGACTTCAGAATAAAAAATATGTATTATGTATTTTTATCTATTAAGTTTTTTTTTTATTTAAAATTATTCTGTTAATTACATTTTAAAAGTGAAAGTTATTTTAATTTATATTTTATATTTGTTTATGCATTTTATTTTATTTTGAGAATTAAATTTAAATTCTGGACTTGAAAGAAATTCTGATAAGATTTCAGAATAAAAAAGTTATTACATAATATTTTTTTAAAGTTTTTTATTTTATTTTAAAGTATATTGCTTATGTTAATTTCTAAAATGTTATTTTAATTGTTATTCTTTAAAATTTTAAAGTTTATGCATTTTTTATACCTATAAATATCATTATAATATTATGAAAAAATATAAAATGTTTCCTATTGATTATAAAAAAAATAAAAAAGTATTAAATTGTATTAAAATGAGTTTTTATATTATATTATTTAGATTCTGCAAGTCAACAATTAGATACCTGCAATACACACTAAGTCCATGTAAACTATGCAAAAGTCACTATGTCCAACTTAGTAAATAGTATTTTAACTATAATAAGAATAATAAAATTCACAGTGTAATATTGTTTACAGCCATTTATAAATGACTACTTTACTTAAGAGGAAATCAATTAAAACAAGCAAAAAAAAAATTTGGTTACATATGATATGGAATTAAAGATTGGAAAAATTGCAAAAGCTCATACTCAAAAATCATGTTTTTGGACTTAATGTGTTTTGCATGAACGGGGACGATATGTTATATAAATATATAATACGGAGACGTTCAATACGTACGTCGTTCAGCGTTTGCAAAAACGTTTCACGTGTGTCGATGGTCACGTTGAGCTCCTCTTGGTTTCGATTCACGTAATTCACGAACGACCGTACCCAAGACTCGGTGTACAGTGGACTAGATATAAATGTCGAATTCTCGAAAGTCTTGGTCAAGTTCTCTATTTCATTTTGCACGTCCACATCCCAATAGTCCAATTCCCCGGCAATTATTACCTGAAAATGGTATTATATACATACATTAGTATTATCATTGATTATAAATAGGTACTCCATTGTACTACTATAACTATATAATAACATGTAGTTTCTATTTTAATTTTGAAATTTTTAATAAACTGATATTTTCTAACAGCTGATAACAAAACACTTTTCTAATATATCGTCTGTCCGCGAAAACTGGATACACTCTAGTTATACACTCAGTTACCTACAATACTCAGTGCCCTATGGCCAGCTATACATATTTTAGAATTCTCTCTGCTGGAGATTGAAGGTCCAATAGTTTAGTTTCATGTCCCGCAAATCGAATTCAAAAATATGTAGGTACAGGGTACTGACTAATAATATATGGGTAGTTTAATTATATAGGTACAGTACACTTGGTTTTCGCGGACACAATATTATGTTTAGTCGTTTTTTTATCTCGCTATATGTCTTATCGTCATAAAAAGTTTAACAGCCATCGATCAACTTTCATAATATGAATAAACCTTAAAACGTGCTTCCGATTTGTAAAGCCATCTCTTAATGGATTAAATTTTTTTTTTTTAGAAAGATTAAGTGTAAAAACCAAAACGTTAAAATTTTATAAATAAATTGCATTATTAATTAATTGAAAACAAAAAAATTAAAATCAGGCCTTGAGCCGTTTTACAATAGGATCTTTAAAATAACTTCCAATTATCTGTTAAGAAATAAATTCATAAATAACATCATGTTTTACGGTTTTTTCCGTATGGCATTTGATCCGTATGACACGTTTGTGAAAGTTAGAACCTACAATTTTTTAAAACAAGACTTTGATAGTGCTAGTATTTTACAATTATAAATAGCAAAAATGTGCAAGGCTAATCCCGGAATAAACAAATCAATAACAAAGGAGTTATTATAGGGGCTGAACCGAAGTTTCATAAGGTATTTTTTTAAATTGTATAAAAAAGACTAAGAGCAAAAAATATCTGGTTCTTTGAGTCACCAATCACCGCATCGTTCACCTACATAAATACATAATCATATATGTATGAACTAAACTGAATTATTTATTATATTTGTCTGCTGCAGTTTCACGGCATTCTTAGCCGAACGGTTTTTTGAAATACTTTTGCAGACTGCAGTGGTTTTACAACAGCAAATTACCTACTAAATTATAACACTATAATTTTATATTTGCAATCCTACTCGCGGTTGTTTATTCAATATATCTACCTACAGGCTACAACCTAATAAGTAATAACATGGTACACGCGTCTACTTCGTGGTGTTATTATATAGGAATCAACGTTAAAAATTTCAACCCTGACATTTTTTTTTATTTTAAAGATTTTTGAAACAAGTCGACATTGATGACAAAATTATCGTTTTCTTACTTCTACAACCACGCACGTGTAATTATAATTTATAACTATATCAGTACAAACGTCCCTCATCGTATCTAAATATTAATATGATACACGTCACCGTCACGTGAGTTTATTATTTTAGTCAACCGGAACCTTGAATTATTAGTTCATGAGGTTATAGGTTACACCCAGTATTACCTAATTACGAACTAATAAAATACAGTTAATTGTATACCCGTACACTGTTTATTGTTGTACTGATATTTCAATAAATTCCTTAGCGAAAGAGATCCCGATGACAAGTGGCCATATCTACTCCGCGGGCCCAAATGGTTTCAAATTTCAATAATTTGTACTTTATAGTCACTTATTATATATATTTTTCTTATAATTTTAGCCTCCCCTAAAATATCAAGTGTCTAAATACAAGTCCTAAATACATATAATATAATAAATAATAATAATAGTTATAATTTATTTATTCATTTGAATAAAACGCGTAAAGGGGCTTTCACAGATAAAACGGAATCAACCGTGAATTATATTCAATAGTAGGTACCTATGAATAAATTTGATTGGATTGTGAATTGTGTTATATGCGTAAATGTTTATACTTTGTATAATATAAAGGTTTATAAATGTAGG